TGACAACTGTGCACCCACCCAAACTGAGCAACTTCTGGGGAGTTAAGGACAGAGCTGCTCCAGTCTGGGGGCCTTGGTTCACACTCTACTCACTGCTGTGTTTTCTCGTAGCAACCAGCAGACTAAGACTGCTAATAAAGACCAGCCCTTGGATGAGCCATGGACAGCAATCATGAGCTACGTGTGTGTGTGCACAGAGCATCACAGCCAGGCTGGTGTGGAGTGAGGGTTCCTGGGAGAGAGGGAAGGGGACCTTTCACTCAAGGTAATTGCAGCAGCTCTCATTTGCTCTCTGAGCACCCAGGATCCACGAATGTTGCCAAACCTTTTCCAAAAGCAGATCTTTGGAAGTGCTTTTCAATTTCCTCGACAGTGATTTCATGGGGAGGTCCATCAAAGCATTAACAAGCACGAAAATGTACTTTGTTCTTAGAGCTCAGAACACAACTCCTAAGTTAGGAAGCTCAAAAGCTGTGTTCTGTGTCAGCAGAATAAAAGGCTTCACCAGAGAAGGATTCCAGATCCACTGAGCCCTGGTAATTCCTTACGACTGCTCTGCTTTAAATGGGACACATTTACCTCAAGTTTTGAAAGCATCTTTAAACCCACTATGTTACAGGATGGGTTACTTTCTGCTGCACTGGGTTTCCTCTCCCAAAACAGCAGGTATTTTTGCTGTTATCTTTATGGGTCATGTTTTCTCTCCCTTCTCAGACTTCCCAGGAACTTTCTTGACACCAGCACACTGTTTTGCATCACTGTGCTTCCCCCCTCACACACAGCCTGTTTCATTGATTGTACAGTACACATCACTTTTCAAACGAATTTGTCTCTGCGTGTTTCATTTAGCCGAACATTTAACAGATATTAAGTGCAAGAATTTGCCAATATTTCAGAGACCCAAAATAATTTAGCTGAGTTTAGTTAGCAAGTTCACATCTTATTACACATCTTCATGCTATTGATTTCCTGCAGCCTGCCAGAACAACAAATGCCTGTTCTAAGAGATGCTCACCCATCTGCTGCTGCTGCACAAATCACACTGATGACACCAAAATGAGTGCTCCAAAAGCCAAAGCACTCCCTTCAGTGTCACACCCTCATTCTCAGCACTCAGCAGTCACACCATTCCAGTTATGGATTGAAAATAAAGTGAACAGGTATTTTAAGTTATTTGGAGATGCAAGTTTCTGCCCAATGCCAGAATTAGCCCATCCCATCCTGCTATAGGGCTGACAGAACACACAGCACCCTGTGGTAGTAACCTGTTCAGTCTGGGTGTGCTTTCCACATAAATACATTCTTCAGGAGCAGAATAAGCTGAACAAGTAGAAATGCATCTTCTAGTAATAACTGTCCTTCCACTGCAGAATTCCAGCCACAAATCCCACTTTCCTACGCAGCTGAGGGAGAAACAGGGCCCAACAGCAACACTTCATTTCCATCCCTGCTGCCAAGAAGGCAGAGAAAGCAAAAGCTTGCCCAAACACGAGTCTACTTTAAGAGCTGCTGGATCCCCCCACTTCACTCCAGCAAACAAAAATAAGCTGCTGCTCGAGAGCAGCACAGGCAGCGAAATAGGATTTACGTCATTTGAACAGTCTGTCTCAGCAAAGGACATCTCTGGAGGGAAAAAGGAGGCAGGCTGGTCTCTATACTAATGCAATCTTTGGCTTCCTGCTGAGGCTGTGGCAGGGGCAGCAGCAGTGCCAGCAGCGACATGCAAAGTCACAAGCTCGGTCTATGTAGGGCACAACACAGCCTTCACATGTGACTGTCACCAGAGCAACAACTGCCACTTACTCCACTGCTCCGGGGACACCTCGGCTCAGAGCATCTCCTGAGCACAGGCAGGGTTTCTCACAGCTCCAAATTGTGGCTGTTTCCCCCCAGAGAACAAAACCAGTCCTGGATTCATTTAAAAATAAATCAGTCAGGCCAGGTGCAGAATTTAGACCGAGTTGCAAACAACAGCTCTCTCAGATGGTTCCGTCTCAGCAGACAACTCTTCTCTCCCTCCTGCTCACACTCTTACCAGGCTCCTTCTCCATGGAAAAGCAGCACAGTTTTTAACTTGATTAGAATAACTAAGGGAAAACTATCCAAGTCAAGGTACAAGCCAATCTCTAAAAGCACTGATTTCTCTCTGTCTTTGACTCGGAGAAGCCCAGTTTCCTCTAAAAAGGATTCCAGTCACTTTATTTTGAAGTACTGAGCACTAAGGAAGAGCAATGGTCACTGATGGTGCTTAGGCATGAAAGTGCTTCTGGAAGGAGGAGGACTGGGAGGTCTGTGCACAAAGTGGACACACCACTTGTCTCCTAACAGCAGGGATCCTCAGCATCACTGGCATCTGATACTGAACTTCAGCAAATGAGGGATCCTTATTCCCCACCAAACAAACCACAAGGTGCATGTGACATTTAAATCTGGGGAAACTGAAACTGAGCTTCTGAATGGGAAGCTACAGACACCCAGAACCTGCAGGCTGGGTTGCCAGAAAGCCAAGGTAACTGGTGGGACTGGGAGGAGACTTTAAAACAAAAAGCTTATTCTCTCCAAGTTGGGGACTTCCTCCACATTTGTATCCAGCCAGAGAGTAAACTGAGGCTGTGGGTGGCTGCTTGTCCCTGCTCCTGGACAGCCTGGGGCCTCACCAACCACTGTCACAGCCCCTGTCCCACACAGGGATCCAACACCCCAGCAAGGCAGGGCCACCTGGAGACAAGACCCACTTCACTCCCCACGTGGGGAGTGGGATGACACGGGACCATTTGGGGGGAGGAGGGGGAACAACAGTGCTCCTCGGATGGAGGTGGCCCTGAAAATGTGGCTCCCCCAGCCCTGCACGTGGGCCAGGGGCCCGGCCAGACACAGGGAGCTGTCTCCCAGCTTCCCCACTAAGCCCCCAGGCTACGCCTCAGAGCAATACAACTCTGCCATAAATATCCCAGATTAATTCTGACCCCAGCATCAAATCCACTTAAGAGACTTAAAAGCCTCCGAGTCCCCAGAGCTGCCTGCCCAAGGAGGGCTCTGCAAATGAGTCTTGGGCTGCAGAAGAGAAATATTATCAAACAAGGCAAGCCATTTGTACAATTTTTAGTAATGTCATTTGCAAGAGACAAATGGGACAAGATAGCTGAGTTGATGTCTTGTACTGGAAGCACAGCCACAAAAATCCTCGGGTACTGGACCTGGATACACGGGGTAGGATTCATGTAACTATTCCATGCTTTCTGGAAATAGCTCTTTCTCCTTAAGGGATTGATTGATTGATTGATAAATGACAGCATGCTCTCCAGTCTATTAAAGGAGCTATTTGCTTAGTTTTCATAGAGACATCTCTATAAAAAAGCCTAAAGTGATTATCCCAACATCACAAAAAAAGCCTTAAGTGTTAACTCTGACAGCAAAAAAGGGAGCTGGGGAGACAGAGCCGCTTCCCTTCCCACTGTGCTCTGGCCAGTGCGAGGCTTGGGAAACAGAAGCAGGCAAGGGGGACACTGTGTGCCCAGCGACCCTTCCAGGGCTCCTGAAACCTCCACAGTGGAGAAAACGCTGCTCCGGAGCAGAACCACCACGGCAGACTCCTGTACAACCGGAGCGGCACTGCCAGAGCCAGCGGGAGCTCCCGGGATTGGGGCAGCTCCCCGGGATCACGCGGGGCATCCCCCCGGCACCGGCTGGGGCTCCAGGAGGGAGATGCGGCCGAAGCCACCGGGGGCTGCCCCAACCCCGGCGGGTCCCCGCAGGGTCGGCCGGACCCACCCGGTGCCTCCCTCCGCGCCCGGCGGGACGGGAATCCCGGGTATCCCGGCCCCGCGGGACGAGCATCCCGCAGCCCTGGCCCGGGGATGGCGAGGGGCTCGCCCGCCCCGCCTGTCTGAAGCGGGAGGTCCCGTATCCCGCATCCTGGGATCTGGTGGTCCCGTATCCCGTATCCCGCATCCTGCATCCCGAGGCTGGCGGCGGGCGGGAGCCGCCGTGTCTGTATTTATAAATCTAAGGAATTCGAGCTCAGCGGATCACAAACAGCCCATTGTGCCGTATCAAGCAGCGAAGTGGGCTCGTAATCCGATGCATGCTTTTCCCACTCGGCTCCTGGAAAGCCAAGCCTTAAATACTTTTCCAGAAGTAGAAACGCGCCGGGAAAGCGCCGAGCTCAGTTCCTGCTCTTCCCGAATCCCCGCTACTTCAGAACCGCGCAACTAAGCGGCTTTCCCGACGCTGGAAAGACGCAGACGATTAATTACAGATTAGAGAGGCTGGAATAGATGCGGCGGCCGGGAGCGCAGGCGGCCCCGCGCGGGGCGAGCAGGCGCTGGCCGGGGCCAGCCCGGTGGCGAGCGGCCAATGTTTACTGACCCCGGGCCGGGTCACTTTCGATACCGGCGGCAGCCACGGGCCGCTCCTGGGCACCGCCCGGGGGGCGAGCGGCTCCCACCGGGTACCCCCGGCCCCGGGGCGCGTTTGCTGCCGGTCCGAGCGCCGCGGGGAGAAGGGCAGGGCTCGCCCCGCTCCTCCCGGCGCTCCGGTCCCGCCGCCCTGCCCGGGGCATCCCCCGAGCGCAGGGACAGCCGCGGGCACGGGGCAGCCCCGGCCGTGCTCCAAACCCCCCGGGACCCCGGGACAGAGCACGAGTGACACACCGGCACCTGACGGGCTGGGGCTGAGGGGGGACATCGCACCGCCGCTCCCGGAGCTCGCTCCGGGGCATCGCCGCAGGGAATCCCGCCGCTCCCGGCGCCGGTGCGCGGGGCGGCTTTGGGGATCCGAAGGCGGGAGGGGAAAGGGAAGGGAAACCCCGCTACCGAAACACCCTCCGCGGAAAAGGGGCAAAGAAAGGCTGTGAGCGCTTACTTCTCGTGCCTGGCGTTCTCCTGGATGGCGCTCAGCACCCCCGGGGGCGCGGGGGGGACGCCCTGCTGGAGCCGGCATGTGGCCAGGTGCCGGTGATGCTCGTCCTGCAGGCAGGCATTTTCGTGGTACAACTTGGCCACTTGCTGCTCCAGCTCGTCTATCCTCCGCTTCTGCTTCTCCAGCAGCTCCTGCTGCGTCTCGATAATCTTGTTCAGCTCCTTCAGGTACTCGGCCGCCTTGCTGGGGTTCTCGGCGGGGCTCTCCATGGCCGCCCCGCAGCTCGGCGGCGCGGGGAGGGGGCAGGTGCGGGCCGGCCCCGTCCGCCGGCAACTTGAGCGAGAGGGAAGGAATAAATAACCCCGCGGAACCCGGCCCCCCGCGGCCCCGCGCGTCCCCTCCTAGAGCCGCGGCCGGCCGGGCGGGCGGCGGCCCCGCGCCGCCATTGCTGCCGCTCGGCCCCCGCTCGGCGAGGGCAGGGCCGCGGCCCGGGGGAGCCGCCCGGAGCCGCCCGG